TGTTTTTATGATTTGGTCAGTTAATAAAGTATCTGCTTCCAAACTGAAAAAAAAATAAGTATTACATCATTATTAAAGTCATATTTATACAAATTAACATAGTAAGAGAAAAAAATTAATGAAAAGTGGATTCAACTTTTCTCCTGCTTTACCAGAGTACTATTTAGGCTTCAGGGATGAATTGAATAGAATTATGAATTTTCCTTTCTTGAGCCAGATAACATCTTTATTGTCCATAAATAATGGATCTATTTCTGCCTCCATACCATTTTCCTGGACAGTCCCCTTCTTTGAATGTGCATCCCTTCCCTGTCTCTCTTCCCATCTCAGCCATCCTTCAGGTCACATCTCATTCTACTTCCCTCTGTACACTTTGGTGTTTGGAGAACAGAAAGTTTCTCCTCTTAGTCTTTTAGAACTGCATTTCAATTGTACAGGGTTCTACCGTCTTATGTTTATGAAGGACGTCACCAAGTTCAGAAGATTGCAAGTGTCTTACTTTTTAAGAGAAGAAATAAGATGTGAAGCTTCATATGTCTCATCTGTATCCAGATTTCCTTAGCTCAAGTCATAGTTCCAGCATTTACAAACTAGGTATCATTGGGAAAGCTCTGTGACCTTGCTGGACCTCAAGGTCCTCATCTGTAAAATGGGAATAGCAGTACTAGCCATCATGTTCTCCTGAGCTGTAATAATATTCATCCATCCGTCTGTCTGTCTATTTATCTATCATCTATCTATTATCTAATTATCTGTCTGTCTATCTTCTATCTACAAAGATTCCACAATGAAAACTTACTCTGCAATATTCGTTGAGATTCCTAATGAGAAAGAAATGATATACAATGCCCAAGTTATGCCCTAGGAGAAGTTGGGGTTCAATTACACAACCTTATAAATGCATACACAAAACCAATAACCGTCATGTCTATTTCTATTGAACTCTTGGTGTCAAATGTAAGCTGAGAGCCAAAGTTGGATCTAAAATATAAAAATTATATACCCTTAGTTACTTATTTGGACAATAACACAAAATTTAAACTCAAGATTCCCAACCTTAACAACTTGTACCTAATGCAATACTATCCAATCACACTTCACAAATGTTGGGCTTAAGTTGTCATAAATTGGATGGACATTGCCCCCCTACTCATAGTTTCCTTCATAATGAGACAGCTTTGAACAACACATGGTTTGAAATGTTCTGTCCTTCATATACAAGCTTTACTTGTTTCATCAGATAAAGAGAAGTAAAATCTTGATGGAGGGATACTCTCTAGATGTCCAACAACAGCTCACTGTGTCTAAGGAATCTGGAGATTCCTACTTCACCATTCCTTAGCAAATTCACTGGAGCCCTGGACCTGAGCCAGACTGTTTCATACATCAAGTCTAGCTAAGAGAAGTTCACCCTTGATGTCTGAAATCATCTATTAACCTGTTTTGAGAGAAACAACCAATTACAGGGGGGAAATCCTGAAATTTTAAAATTAGGAAAACATTCAAGAAATAACTGTTTTTACTATGTTTTTGAACAAGATGTTGCTTAATTTTTTTTCAATGTTGCCTGTATTTCAGGCTAACCTTGAACTCACAGCTCTCCTCCTGCCTCAGCTTCCCAAGTGCTGAGATTACAGGCATGTGCCACCTCACTTGGTAGCATTTTTAATATTATCATAAATATGTTATTATACAAAGTGTCAGCATTTATGTTCTGAATATCAAAGGCTGCTTCAATGAATCATGCCCTTAAACATCAAGAATGTTGCCATCGCTACCACAGCAAGATCGCAAGGTCTTTTGCTTCTCTTCTTAGCAACAATTCCACAACTCCCACCTCTGAGGGCTCACGCGTTGGGCATACACCTGTTGAAGGCATGAAAGTCTCCACTGAATCAGTGAGTTTACAGAGTGACTCAAAACAATAGTCCTCATCCAAATGGCAGAGGGAGATTAGTTAAGGGAAGAGAGCTTCTTGAATGACACCAGTGTCTTAGGTGTGCTTGCCAAACACCAAGCGCGTCCTATTTGTCCTGGCCTGGTGCCCAGAATGGAAGACAGACTTTCACCGTCTTTCAGCTACAGTGAAAGAACTAAGCAATTTCACAGAAAGGGGAATGAGAAGGTGTTAAATAAAAGAAAGAATGACATTTTAAAGGCTTTATATGTTGAGTTTCCTGTCCACCAACCTTGACAATGTTCCTTTAAAAATCAGCACCTCACTTCCATTGATTTTCAAAATCACACTTCTTTTAACAGAAATCTCCTATTTTTAGCCTGATGGATGGCGTATATTTAAGAAGAACAGCATCTGTGAAGATGGACCGCTAAAAAAAATCACTAACTTACTTTTGGAGAAAGTGAGCAGAAAAAGGTTTGAACATCACAGGAGAATTGTGCCATGTCATTGGCTTGACATTTAGGCTGCTTTCGCTTAAGTCTTCATCAGGGTCTTTCTGCTGTAACACTAGCCCGATGATCCGTTCCCTACTTCCAGGCTTCTTACAAAGACACTGATATAATCTAAACAGTCTTTTCTATAGACTTTCATATTTCTGTGCAAGTACATTATTCTTGGCTATTTGGAAAGGATATATCTGGAAACAGATTTAAAATACATAGACTAGCATTCGTTAGGAATTTCAGATATATTTTCACCCTTAGGTCAGCATATGAGAATTTATGAGTTTTTCTCTTGCAACATTTGAAGAAAAAATGAATCTTATCCAGAGAAAAAAGTACCTATTCAAGTATAGTAAATAAGAATCAAGTCCTCTCTTTCTCTCTCTCTCTCTCTCTCTCTCTCTCTCTCTCTCTCTCTCTCTCTCTCTCTCTCTCTCTCCAGTTTTGTCTTCATTATTCCAAAATTTAAATTGAAAAAAATTAAATAAAATATTGTATTATTGAGCTAGACATTTTTTTGTTCCCCCAGGCAACACCAAGAACAACATTCTCATCCTATGGAATATGTCTTCTCTGATTTGATTAAAGCATCATTGACAGATGCTAAATTCCAAGGCACAGCAGAGGTCACGAGTGCCTGAGAGGTCTTCAGAGAAAGAACACCAACATTTTTCATCCTTGGTCAGAGCTTGATTCCCACTCAGCCAGCCTGCCCCGCTCCCCTGCGGCATTCCCGAGTGCCAGCCAGCACCAGGGAGCTGAGAAACCCTTGGCAGATCAGCTGGCATGTCAGTGCTACTGTGGGCCTCAGAACTGCTTTTAGTCTTGGCTTGATTTTATACCTTTCTGGAAAATCCTGGTCCACATCCTCCTCTTTCTAAGCCTGCTATTGATGAAATCTCCTGCGACTACAGGCAATGCTCTCGGATGTGCACTTCTCAGTTACACTCACGGTGTGTCAGTGAAGCTGGTATACACTTCTCACGCAGCAACCTTCCTGTACTTTCCATGTGCCTTTCTCCAGCAGACCCAATTTCACTGCTGAACCATGAGCATCAGCTCGCGAGTTCTTTCAGTGTTATTCATTCCTTGTTTTCATATGTTCAAGCCTGCCGCTACTGTCTCATGGTTCTTCAGATCAGAGCCCGCCCTGCACATCAAAACTGTCTACAGAAGATGCTTCTCTTTTCTTCCTCCACTCACTCATTTGCTTTTGGTGTCCTTTCTTTTCGATTCCTGCCACATGTCTACTGCACGATCAGCCCAAGCCTCACATCTAAACAGGTAGCCAGCAGAATTTACCACCATGCTTGGGCTCGGCTCCCTCTGTCCCGTGGTAAGGCTGCATGGTGTGTCCTCTGTGTGCACCCTTACGACTTATCTGGGCAACGGGATTGGGCAGAAGTAATGCTGCCACTGTTAGGGAGAAGCTCTTGAAAGTTAGCACACACTTCCCTGAGTTTTCTTTTCCCTGACATGGCAAGAGTACAAAGGACGGAACCGCTGTCATCGAAAGTAAAAGGTAGATGTCCCACCTTTGTGTGATGGGTGTGTGGCAAAGCTGTGTCACAGCTACGTGTCCCTTAGACCACTGAGGTACTATGTACTACAGAATTTTAACTTAACCCAACGACACAAAGTAATCAACTTCATGGCTGTCCCTTATGTATCCATAGCATCATTTTTTTCTGACCCAGCATGTATGCAAATGCACCGGTGCTACCTCATCTCCTGTCTGTCTCACAGCTCAGCATAAACCCCATAGGAACATGGTTTGTTCATGTGTCCTATCTGCCTACCGCAGTACTTAGAATATCACATCCCTTCAAAAGCCACGCCCTGAATTAATGAATAAAAGGTGCCCTCATCCTACGATGAATGTATCTTTAGATTGGTACTGGCATTCTTGGATCTCTGCCCAGCCCACTGTGGTAACCACAAGTCCACTCACAGTTGTGACAGGTGGCACCGGCGTAACCTGTGTCACTGCAGTTGCAGGAGAAGGTCATCCAGGACTGAGAGCAGCGTCCTCCATGTTCACAGTAGTTTGGCAAACACCTAATCAAAGAGAGGGCAAAGAAAAATAAGCCAAGTCAGTTGAAATGAAGAAAAAGGCAACTGTATAAACTAATTCTAGAAATTGATTTTGCTATGCTTCCATCTTTAAGTCAGACTTACACAAAACGCAAAGGATACTATGCTTCACTCACAAGAGGTGAGTCCCCCTGAGACCACCAAATCTGGAGGTCACAAAGCCTAAGCAGGCACCCGAGCTAAGCGTGGAGACACTGTGAAAGCGCATGTTAAAAAGAAGTGGTCAGAACCCATAGCCTATAGAAATATATAAAGATCAACACTGCATGCTTTTGAATTTTTTTGAATATTTAAAGAAAGGGGGTAAGCAGATGACAAAGTTACTTTTTATATGCTTCTTTCTGAGAAATGAGGAAGAAGCCAATTAACCACACAACCTGAAATTTGAAAAGATGGTGGTGGCTCTCTACAGGAAGGAGTGCTCTTCCATTTGTTAAAGCGCCACTGGAGGGGGTGGTACAAGCCTATAATCCTTGCTACACAAGGGGCTAAGGAGGACCCCAACTTCCAGGCTAGTTCAGACAATTGAAGGAGACAAAATCATAGGATAAGACATGACAGGGGCCATTAAGGCGATAGAAATCTTGCTTCACATGCATAAGACCCTGGCTTCAGTACCAAAAGAAAAAAAAACAAAAAAGAAGAAGAAGAAGAAGAAAAAAAAAAAAAAAAACCCAGTGCCAATGCCAGCCTTAAAAGGTAGCCCTTACAGTATGGCTATTCCACAAAATATTTCCAACACATATATTAAAACTTGCTTAAACATTTGTATAATTTGAGCTGGCAATCACTCTTAGGTGGTGTTATCTTAACAATGTTGTTCAAAATATGAAAACTATATGTGCTAGTTACTGATAAATGCCCAACATTAAAATATTACAGGGCCTGGGAGATGGCTCAGTAGAATAAGCGCTTGCCTGGTAAGCTCAAGGGCCTGAGTTCAATCCCTGGTTCCACCAAAATATAATATATATATATATATATATATATATATATATATATATATATATTACATAGGAAACTTAGTATTACACAAAGAATGAACTATGATATGATGAAACTGGTACATATAATGTACATGTGCATCATGGTAAGAGATTGGACTAAGACTAAACGTGAAAATATAAGCACAATTACAAAGTAGAAAACAAGGACCAAATCCATGTCCAAAATGGTGAGATAGAAATACACAAGACATGGCTCGGGTTACTGGAAATGCAAGGAATGGTCACGTCTTGTATAGGAATCCGACCCTACAGACAAGCACATCAGCTCCAACCCAGCTCAGCCTCTCTTGCCCCCGTGTTAGCATCCCGACAGTATTTTTCCTATTAGGTCACCTAGCAAACACTCGACAACCATAATGAATAAAATGAAGGTAAAAGCCATGATAACCTGAACTGTGAGAAAGCAGTCTTTACATGGAGTTTGAGAATGCAAAGGGGAGAAAACAACTCACAAGGTAAATAGGTGGAGAGTGCAAATAATGAAGGTATAAACGTGGAGAAACACAATGACAGGCTCACGGAGGCGCCTCTGTGAGTCTGAGGCCGGCAGAGCTACAGTGATTTACTCTAAATGTCCTCTATGGGTAGGAGACCCTTGAGCAATGATTGCTTCAAATCCCAGACAGTAATATTCCTGCATATGTTCAGACTTATCGGAAATTTTCTGCTTAGCACAGCAAACGTGCAATTGTGCTGAGAGGGTTGGCATTGCGAGGAAGCCCTGTTGATGCTTCATGGTGCCAACTGTGGCCTCAAGAAGCGCAGGATAGAAAAAGAGACCCAAGAACTGCGGGATGTGCTCACCTAAACCAACCAGACAAGTAAGGGAAGAAAAAGTGGTCTTCTCTTTTGTCCAAATCCCACAGCTCTTTGCTTTAATTACTATTTTAAAAAGAATAGAAAAATGATAAATAGAAATGATATACAATTTCAAACACAAAGCCAAAAAACAAGACAATAGGTATTCAGCAGTGGCTGTTAGATTGCCCCCAGCTCTTTGTGTTTTCCACCAGCTCCCCTCTGGATCTCAGTGGAAAGAAAAAGAAGCAGGCTAGTCACTGGTGAAGCCTTGAGTGCTGGAAGCCTGGAGTGCTTCCTCTGCTAACTCTGAGCTGCAGCAGAAGCTCCGAGGTGGACCACCATTGTGCTCATCAATGAAGTTCGCTAAGGCGTCCTCCCTCTGGACGTGTCCTGTGAAATCTTATGGAGCTGGCGTCCTTCCGAACTCCCACCTGCACCCAATTCATTTGCGTCCCAGCAGTGCCTTTATTCGGTGCACTGCTTAGCAGCTCTTTACCTTATTTCTTTTTGGCTAAGGCTGCCGGTTCTTGTGCCACCTTTCCACACTACCTTTCACCTCACCCTATCTCTCCAAACACACACAAGGATTCCACAACTAGAAAAGAACTGCCACTATCATCTCTGGCTACAGAAAGTCTATTGCCTTAAGAATAGAAAGCTACACAAAAGAAGAAAGATGTTATGCTGTAATTCTTCAATTTCTGGCTCCAGGAAAATCCAGGTTAGTGTCTCTTTGTTGGTTGATATTAGAAAATAAAAAATTCAGATATTTTCAGTGGCCATGGCTTCAGTCATGAGAAGAGCATTTGTTCTCAAAGAGGCAGGAGCAAAACTGCTGAGCTGCAGCTCCAGGGACAAAGGTGAAACAGAGTGCGGGCCACACTTGTACGTCTGCTTGCTGTGGTGCGTGAGAGCTGGTTGCATCCCTCCATCTCCGGAGGACTGGCTATTTTCAACTTTAATGGGTTCTATGAAATAGACCAAGACTTTTCCAGAAAAATCCTCATTTCACTTGGCCTGGCTAATGTTGTGCTTTTGCCACACTGAACTAACATAACCCTAACTTTCTGTAAGACAGCGTCTTATTATTAGAGAAAAAATGAAAGCTTACTTTTTTCTTATACTGTACATAATAAAACACCTCAAAACTCAAGATTGCTTTGTCTCTGGGAGAGCCAGGAGGAAGGGCCTAGCAGTCAGCCATCAGAAACGCCAGGCAGCGTGAGCACACCTTTAATAAGCCCCAGGCAGACCTGCTATTGCAGAGTCAATAAACACAAGTCACCACTGGAAATCCAGCCTAGAATTTCATTTGTTTATGGTCACTGAAAGAACCAATGCTGTATTTCTGGAAGGGAAAAGCAGTCTGTGGGTAGGGAGAATCTGATATTCCTAGAATGGGAAAGAAATGAGTGCTGGTAGGACTGCCGGGAGCTCAGTTCCTCTTGGTGCGAGGCACACCGCAATTGGGAACAACTCATCTGTACAGGAGATGTTCAAAATAAAAGATGCAGAAGCACAATCTGCTCACTTCAACAGGGCAGCTTTACAAGGACAGTTTGCAGGTACTTTCCTCAGCTCACTGTAACTATTTTTCATTTCTTTTTTATCTCTATGTGGCATGAACTGTGCACTTCCAACATGAGCCCGTGGAGGCAAAGGTGCAAAGCTCCTAAAGGAAGAGACAGCACTACACGGGGACAGTTGCCATCTCAACGCTAAGGCCCTTAGTTCCAATTGCCTGGCAGTGTCCACTCTGAGCACCCAGCCTCTGCAGTCCTAATGATGTTGCAGATGCCACTGGTTCTGTGTACAAGTGGTTTCTTTGGTGCCCAGGGTCATCCACGAACACTGACGGTTTCCTTCAGTCACCCCAAGAACCCCAAGAAGCCTACAGAGGGAGCTGTTCAGCGAAGACTTGGGGAACACGGCAGATACAGTGCCAGCTCTTCTGCCTCTGTGTAAGAGCAGTGTGTGCGGTCTTCAGGGAGATGCTGAGAAAGGTTGAAAGAAAAGGCAGAGAAAAGGTAGAACTGGAAAGAGAAAAAATAATGATGCCCCAAGCACAGAAATTACTCTTATATTCATATTTACAATTTTCCTTCCAATTTAAACCATTTCTAAAAGGAAAAGAATCATTTGGGGGCACTAAAGACAATCCAGGTCATAGAATTGGGAAGACACATGCAGATACTCAAGCGAGGACAATACGCCACAGTAAGAGATTGTTACAGATTGACCTACTCGGAAAACTGTAAGCAGGCATTTCTGAGAATTGAAGTCAGAGCCTAGCTGCCAGCACACTCAGAAGCCCTTTGACGCACAGCATACTACTTTTCCAAAATTAAGAACCAAAAGACACCACATCTTCCCGAAGAAGGACTGGGGTACTCTTCTGTACTTTTCTTTAACCAGCACTGAGCAGAAATTCCAGCTGGAGTGGGTGAGGCTTGGAAACAGTGTTATGAAAGCGGTGAGTTCAAGTTAGTTCACAGAAATACATTCTGTTCTTTTTTTTAATTCGGAAAGGTTCATTGGAGAGATATATTCACTTAAATAAAAATCAGACCACTAAAAGTAATAAAGCAAATTTCGTGACCACACACAGGTAACCTCCAAGTGTACGTTTGGATTTCAGTCCTTCCACTTGAATTCCAACCTCGTATTTCCACTGCCTGATGCACAGATCACTTGTGTGTCCTACATCTGTGCTTTCAAAATTGACTTTTCCACCTCGTGGCTGGCTGTGGCTGCAACCAGCTCCACATTCAGGATGATAACAAAGGGCCAGCCAGCCAGCTCAGCGAATTGAAGCAACAGCTTAGGCAGATGCAGGGACCAGGGTTCGATCCCGGGCCTGCTATGGCGGCCCTGCCCCTGGGGTCCTCTGACACTGAAAACAGGAGGATCACTATGAGTCTGATCTGCGTAGTGAGACTCTGTAGACCCTGTACTAAATACACTAAAAATTCAAAGTTGGTACCAGCACCTTCCTTCCCAAAGTCCATACCTGGAAGGTCTTCCTCTCTGCTCACAGCCCACATAGAGAAATGAGCAGCACTGTGGGCTGCCCCTTCAGAACCTGTCCTGAATCTGACCCTCATGTCTGCAGGGAGCCACCAACATCTCTATGCTGAACAGCTGAAGTTATCAGCT